GCCCGCCCCCCGGGGGGTGGGGTCAGCGCTGGCCCCGCCCCACCAGGCCCCAACGGCCCCGCCCCAGCGGCCCCGCCCGGCCCACCCCACCTGCTTGTCACTGAACTCGCGGGCGTCCTTCTCCATGTGGCCCTCGTAGAGGTTGGTGGTGAGGCTCATGAGCCCCATCTTGGAGAGCCCGAAGTCCGTCAGCTTCACGTGGCCCAGCGAGGTGATCAGCAGGCTGCGGGGACCCAGGCGTCCGGCGGGGACCCAGGCGTCCAGCGTCCCCCCCGGCCCTCCCCTGGACCGGACCACCCCCCACCCCGCGGGACCCCGGCGTACTTGTCGGGCTTGAGGTCGCGGTGGACGATCCCGTAGTTGTGCAGGTACTCAAGGGCCAGGACGGTCTCGGCGAAGTAGAGCCGGGCCAGCTCCAGCGGCAGCGCCCCGATGTGCTTCAGCAGCGTTGCGCAGTCCCCGCCTGGGACAGGGGGACGTGGGGGGACACGGGGGGACGCAGCAGTGTGCATCATGGCGTCACCGCCCAGCACGTCCCGGCGGGACATAAAGTGCCCGCCCAGATGTAAAGCACCGCGTTGGGACGTAAAAATGCCCAATCATGACATAAAGCACCCTATCATGACACAAACCACCCCACAGCGCCCTGCCCAGCCCCATATCACAATGCCCAGCTCCATATTATGATGCCTGGACCCATATCACAACACACAACCCTGTATCACGATGCCCAGTCCATCATTGTACCGCCCAGCACCGTGGCATGATGCCAAGCCCCGTATCACAACACCCAGCCCTCTATCGTGGTACCCAGACCCACACTGCAATGCCAAGGCCTGTATCGCAATGCCCAGCGCTCTAACATAATGCCCAGCCCTGTATTGTGGCGCCCAGCCCAGTATCGTGATGCCCGGACCCATATCACAACGCCCAGCCCAGTAGCACGATGCCCAGCCCAGTATCACGACGCCCATTGGCCCCGCGCCCACCTTCGACATACTCCATGACCATGCAGAGGTGGCGGCGGGTCTGGAAGGAGCAGAACATGCTGACGACGAAGGGGTTCTCGGCGAAGGTGAGGATGTCGCGTTCCACGAACGCTTGCTCCACCTGGTTGCGCAGCAGCAGGTTCTGCTTGTTGATCTTCTTCATGGCGAAGCGCTGGCGCGTGGCCGTGTGCCGCACCAGGTACACCGCCCTGCCGGCACAGCCGCGCGTCATGCCACGCCACGCCAGAGACCCCGGTGCCCGGGACCCCCGCAGGGACCCCGGCGTCTGGGGCCGCTCACCCGTAGGCGCCATTGCTGATGAGTTTGATGGTCTCAAAGTCGCCTTCGCCCGGCGGTTTCTTGGCCCTGGGGACGGCGCTGCGGCCCTGGGGGGACACGGGGACATGGGGTGACACGGGGGGACATGGAGAGGGACACACGGGGACCTTGCCCTGGCGCCCACCTCAGCCCCCTCCTCAGGCTCTGGTGTGTTGCTCCCGCCGCTGTCGGGCTCCTCCAGATGCACCACGTCTGCAGGGACATGGGATGTCACGCGTGTGCAGGGACACAGGGTGTCACACACGTGCAGCCCCAGCACACACCACCCCACGTGTGCACCTCCCTAGCACGCACCCCCTGTGCACGCTCCCACACCCCTGCACACCCCCAGCGTGCAAGATCCACGCAGGCATCCCCTGTGCACGCTCCCACACGCGTGTGCAGCCCTGCCCACCCCCACAGGCATGCAGATCCCATGCACACCCCGCACACATACCCTCCCCCGCAAGGCCCCACATGTGCATGCTCCCACACACATGTGCACGCCCCTTGCATGCTCCCACACATGCATGTATACCCCCACAGGCGTGTGCAAGCCCCGTGCCCAGCCCGCGGCCGCTCGCACACGCGTGTACCGGGGAAGGGGTCCCGCGCCAGCCCCAGCTGCCCGATGATGTAGCGGGGGATGTCGGCCTTCAGCAGCCCCTCCCGGGCCTGGCCCTCTGCCGCCGTCAGCAGCTGGTAGAACTCAGCCGGGTCGAACTCCTGCACCGACACGCCCCGGGCACGCGTGTGCACAGAGGGACACGCATCGTCACACGTGTGCATGGGGGGACACACACCAGCGCGATGCAATGCACCAGCAGACAGCGGGGGCATGTGCTGGTGCGCACGTGTGTGCTGGTGCACATGTGTGAGAGCATGTGCAAGCGTTGGAGCACGTGTGTGTGTACACACCAGGACACAGTGCGTGCACCAGGATGCGTGTGCACGTGCGTGTGCACGTTTGACCCCAAACGCATGTGTCGCTGTGCCTGCACCAACGCACGCACGTGTGCCAGAGCACATGGGTGAGCACGCGTGTGCCTGTGTGCACTGACAGTCATGGGCGAGTGCACACGCGTGTGCCCCCGGCCCCCCCCCCTTTGTCTTGGTGGTCCCCGGGATGCACTGTTGCCATGGCACTGCCCCGGCAACACGGCTGCCACCATGGCAACAACAGCCCTGCCTCCCCATTGGCTGCACGCAGGGATTGGCCAAGGCGTTGTCAAGGTGACGGGAAGGGCTTTGTCTGATTGGGCAGCTGGGATGGTGCAAAGTGGGATGGGGAGGGGATGCTGGGGGGCTGTCACAGGGCCCGACACCCGGGTCCGCTGGGGACAGGGGGTCCCGGGGGACTCACCAGGCACTCAAGCAGCCGGGCAGGGCGGGAGATGATGATGAGGAGTTTCTTCACCAACTGGGTGATGAAGGCCACCTCCTCCGACTCCGAGCGCTCATAGGCCTGGGGGAACGTGGGTGGGGAGTCAGGGGGTCCCAGGGGACCTGGGGAGTTGCATGGGGTCCTGGGGGGTCCCATGGGCCCCAGGGCATCCCCTTGGGTCTTGCTGGGTCCAGTGGGGTCCCACCGGATCCCTGGGGGTCCTGTTGGGTCCCATTGGGTGCCGAGGGTTCCCATTGGGCCCTGTATGGCCCTGGTGCTGAGGGTGCCATCAGTCCCTATTGGGACCAGTTGGGTGCTGTTGGGTCCCTCTTGGGCCCCATTGGGTGCCATTGGTCCCGTTAGGTCCCCTGGGGCCCTGCTAGGCACTGTTGGGGGTCACTGAGCCTCTTTGGGCCCCATTGGGTGCCAATGGGTCTGCGTTGGGCCCTGTTGGCCTCTGTTGGGCGCCGTTGGGCACCATTGGGTCCTGTTGGGCCCTTTTGGGTCTCTTGGGGCCCCGTTGAGTGCCATTGGGTCCTGTTGGGTCCCACTGGGTGCCGTGGCTCACGTCCTGCAGCAGCCGCTCCATGTTCTCCTGCAGCTCATAGAAGTAGCCGGCGGTGATGAGGCCGTGCCGCGCCTTGGCCAGGCAGTCACGCGCCAGCTCGACCAGCTGGTGCTGGATGAAGCTGAGGGCGCCATCGGCCAGCGGTGTCCCCCCGGGGCCGCAGCCCCGCACGAACTCCTCCAGGCGCTCCTCCATCTGCGCTGTCGCCTGCAGGACCCGGGTGGATGGGCTCCCCACGGCTCCAGAGACCTCCACAGTCCCCCTGGGGCCCCCCAAAAGACCCCATAACCTCCTCCAGTGCCCCATAGGCACCCAGACCCCCCAGAGGTGTCAAACCTCCTCTCCAGGAACCACAGACCCCCCCCTGAGCCCTCATAGATACCTCATAAC